TCACGACTTCTACTCCTTTCAATAGAATATTTACTTTTATTAGATCTATCTCTTGAAGAGTTTCGTCTTCTACGATCTGAAATAAAACTAGAATAAACTAAAGCAACTATTAAGCAAATATAAAGTGACTTCGAAGTGAACTCAACTCAAGTTAAAATGAGTTGAGAACTAGTTTAACCTAACTAAATCTATTAACAACTCTAACTAATATATTACTACAGTATCTGCAATTGATCGACTTTATATATGTCTTTCTCCTCAACTTTATCATAATCAATTGCATGTTGAAGTTGTAGATAACAGTAATGAAGTTTGAATAATATGATAATATTAGTATTCATAGGTTGGATTTTTGATGTTGCATATAGAATAATATAAGTACTTTTACATTAGTCAAGGTGAGAGTACTAGTAACATGTGAGAGGATATTATCAAGGATAAGTAAAATATTATAATTTAATTCTCTTATTTCATCGTCTAATTTTTTTATTTATTCTTGAAAAAATATAGTAGTTATTCATGCTTTTTTATTATTATGATAATAAAATCCAAGTTCTTTATCTGTTTTTTTTTTAAAATATTTAGATTTTTTAGAATATCTAATAATAAAAAGTTGAAGTTTTTAGATGCTATCTACATTGGCTGTAAATGCAATTGTAATTTTCATATAATTTTTTTTTGATATTTTATTCTGGTGAGATGCAATTATACAGTTAGAAGCTATAGTATAAAACAAACCTATCTTATCTATATTGTAAATATTACAAAGAGAATACTAGTTAGTAGTACTAATAATAATAGGAAGGTTTAGATTTATAGCAGTAATATTAGCAGAACTACTTTCACTATGCAACTTAAAGTAGTAAAAATTATACCTTTCTTGAAAAGCTTGCAATTATCTATTTAAAAATTCAAGCTGATTATTTTCAGAGATTTTTATTAGGTCTGCTAATCTTTTTCTTTTAGCTTTAATCATATCTTCATTTAAACATATAGCCCTATGTTCATATTGTAATACCTAGTTCATCAAAGCAGTATCTAGCTCAGGAAATATAACAACATGATATCTTTTAACTTCAAGATCACTTAAAGACATTTTATTAAATTCATCTTTCCTTTTTAAAATATCAGAAATTATATTTTGACCTAAGGTTTTTACTAGTTTAAGTTTATTTTTAGCTCACTCTGCAAGTTTCTTCTAAGTAAGTATTAGATTTTTTTGGTGATAGTCATATATTATTTTTCTTTGATTATTATGCAAATTTCTAGCTAAAAGAACTTTGTCTTTTTTTTTCATTATGATAACAGATATTAGAAGAATGAAATAGTTAACTAATAGTTAGAAAAATTATAATAGTAACTTATAATTATATTAATAGCAAAGAATAGAATTTTTAAATCAAGCTATTATTAACTCGATAAGATTTTATTATTTATTATTTTATTTTTTTATTTATATTCTTTAATAGATACAATTTGATTTATTATTTTATTTTTAATTTTTTTTTTTTTTTAATCAAGATTTTATGCGATTTGATTTTTTTTTAATTGATCTGCTTTAAAGATTTACATCGATTTTAATTAATTTAACAAATATTCAAAATACAAACCTTCAGAAGATATTTTGTATTGAAATAAAGATGTTTAATATCTCTATTAGGATGCTTCATTCTAACTTATTATTACAATTAAATTTTTTTTTTATTGAGTCAGTAAAAATAATTTAAATAAGTTAAAAATAATGATTTTGCAAATTCTACTTTTGTTTTATCTAATCTGCTTTCTGATATCTTTGAAATATTTAAACAATACAGATATATTATATTTCTAAAGTATTTGATCACATTATTCATTTTTTCATAAATTCAAAACTAATCTAGAATTTAAATAATATTTTAAATATATTAACATATTCTAATCCAGGATAATATCTAATTTGGTTTATCATCTCTCTTTATTTAATCAATTTCTTTTTTAGTTAGCTTTACAGAACCAGATTGGTATAAACAGATTCAGCTTATTTTACCAATAATTATTTTACCAGTAGCTTAATTAGCTAATATTATGCTAGATAACAATATATTAATATGTCTGTAATTAATCAAATGTTAATCCTAACTTTGTGTAATTTCGGCTAAATAACTTTGGTGAAATGAGCAGCAATAGTCATAAACATCCCCTTTAGATCATAAGATAAATCAAAAAAAAAATTCAAATAAAATCAAATAAAATAATTATCAAACGGGTTTTTAATTAATTCGGATGCGAGTGAAAAATTTTTTATAAAAAGTAGCTATGCATGTATGCACATAGCATTTTAAATATTACCGTTACTTCAAGATCGTAGCATATCTGATATACTACTAAAACACGTATTATGTATACTATAATTTGATTGGTGGGTTGTTGTATTTACGTCACGTGGCATTTTTCAAATCCGATATCCTCTCAAAATCGATACAAAACCTATCCACCATACTTACCGGTTTTGGGAGGGCTGACAGTATTTGAAACTTCTAAAACCAATTACTTAGATTAGATATTTAATTAGATGATAGTGATAGCAAAAATTCTGTTTTACTACACGAAGCTGATCTATATGTTACATCTAATCCGCAAATATACTTTAATTAAATTTGATTAATCTCTAATTCATGCAAGTCGACGATCATATAATTAAAAAATTACATATAAATTGATTTGTTTTACGATAAAATTATTTATTTTATACAACTAGTAAAATTAATAACAACTTATTATTTTATAATAATAGATTCTACTTTATAAAATTACACTTGCAACTGCATATATAATACAAAAACACAATTATATTAAAACTACTACACAACATTAAATGAGCATTATAATTGATCGTTATTAGACACCAATTTTTATATTATAATCACCTAAGGCAAGAAAATATACTAAATTAACAGTCTAACTCACGTTGAAAATAATACATAGAATAAGCCAATATTATAAGTACTAATTTAAAAATCCTCTGCATTTAGATGCTCCACAATGACATGGAATTTTATCAAAATTTTCTGTTGGAAACTATTAATAAATAAATAAATTAATATAAAGTATAATAAAAATTATACTAAAAAAATATATATAACTAAACTTACCTTATAATCATAAGTAATCTCTTCATTTTTTTGTATGTTCCTTTTTGCGTATATTGCTATTTTTTTATGTCCTTTGACATTAAGAATTCTAGCATTACAATTCGGCTTTAATTTATATATAATATCCCATAGAAACTAAAAAAGTCAATAAAGGTTTCAAAAAATTTAAACAATCGAATTCAATTTATTTTTTTAACATACCTCGCAAGAATGATTTATTAGTCTAGCATTATTTCCCATTCTAGTGGCGTCAATTATAGTATCATCGCCAACTCTAAACATATAACTTCCGTCAATCCCTTCTGCCTTATATTTCCTTTCTCTTAAATCTGCAACTGCCTGTCTAATTAATTCTCCTGTATATTCAATTACAAATTCTCCACACTTTATTTTTTCCAATGTGAATAGTCCATAATGATGTATTGAAGATTTAGCTATTGTAAGTTCTCTTTCTCGTGATTTCAATGGATTGAATTGAAGATAATCTTCCGACGCTGTGGCCATACGTGCATGTAATTCTCGTCGTTTGGCTCTTGATTCTCGCGGACTAGGTGCCGGAGCTGTGGCAGTTGCATATGGTGTACCTGCGATACCATATGTAACATATTTTCGTTTTTCTTCTGGTGGTATTTTGTAATACCCTTCAGTCCTAGCACATCCTGTCTTGTGAGGTCCTGGGTCGGTTGAATAATCTTTGTATGAATATACAGTGTCTGATTATAAAAATATATACCAGAAAAGTCAATAATAACAATAATAACAATAATAATAATGATAAAGATAATAGCAATTTACCGCCCACTCGGACAGTATATTCCTCTTTTTCTACCCAATCTATTGGTTCACCATCACTATCTAATTGATTATTCTGTTGTAGAGTGAGATAAAGTTTGATCATATCTAAATCAAATGCATCCGTAATACCATCTTCGGGATTAAGGTACGGTCTCTCAACCCATTCTGAATTAAGGAATGAATCATAGTCTTCTTGCCCCTCGCTGTTTGAATTTGATCCACTTGTTTGTTTTGCACTGTCACTAGTTGTATCGTCTGTATAATTATTTCTGAAAGGTTTTGTTTCTTGTGTATTAGGTGTTTTTGAACTAGATGCTAATATGCTTTTAGATTTTAAACTTTGTGAATTTACTATAAAATTGTTTTTTGACCTGCGACTGGGCTTAAGTTTCGTACTCGATCCCGAAGGTGTAGCAACAAATATTCGATTTTTTAATTCACGATGTTTAAGAGTGGAATTAGTAATTGAGTGACTACTACTTTTGATTTTTTTTGTTGTTTCAGATGTACTCAAAGTATTGGATTTATAATGTACTTTCTTGCTAATTTCAGATGCATTCGACGTGTTTAATTTTTGTATTTGTTTTTTTTTCTGTATTGTTTGTGACTCGATGTTATTATTTTTATCTATATCGTTATTGAATTTGTCACCTTTAAAAGGTGATTTCTTCTTCGTATCTTCTAACGACGATTCAGATGATGAATATTCCCAATCAGGTTTACTAGGTTTTGTACTCTGTTTGAAATTTTTTCGAGAAATGCCTTCGTACGATCTTTCATCTGTGTCTTGAGTACCGTAACCATCTGATTCATTGTCGCCCGATTTTGACGATTTCTTAATTATCGGTTTTTTCGACTGTACAGAACTCGATGGAACAATCTCTTCTCGATTTACATCTTTAGACTCAAGTGTGGATGAATGCTTTTGATCATTCGCTAAGTTTTTCTGTTTTTTCTTCAAATCTTTAGTATTGTTCAAATTTGAGCGTTTCCGGAAGCTTGGAAGATCTTTTAAGTCAAGCTCTGAGAAGCTTATGCCTATCTTTTCTTCTTCTTCAATTTTGACGCCAGAACTAGTATCTACATCA